AAATGTGCCTAAAGTCTGAACAACTGGCTGCATATGGTTGAAAAACCACTAATACTTAAACTTTCCTACTTTACTTCTTATGAGCTTCCTTAAACAACCCCATAGAGTAACTAAAATAGATAGTTTAGGTGCTTTATAAAAGAAACTAAAAAGCTCAAAACATTTAAGGAATTTGCTCAAAGTCATGTTGCATGCAAGGATAGATCCAAAATGGAGTCTACATCTTCTGAGTCTTACAAATTAACAGGCAGGACATTCAGAAAACAACAGGGCAAATGGTCGTAAGCCCCCAGTAATGGTCTGAAGGGAAGAGCTCTCTAAGGCTCAGGTAATGACAGTGAGGGGACCAGCACACATTTGGGCAACCTCCTATCAGATGAGTCACAGACATTTTTACGTGGAGCTCTGAGAGACCACAGCAAAATGCACTAATCCTTTTTTGCCTGAGTTTGCTATTATATAGAACCAGATTAAAGAAACACAATGTTTAAACCTCACCAACTGATTTTGTGGATGAGTCCGTCACTTTTCATAGTTTGCACCACAATTCTACAAATAATTCATTCAAAGTCAAATTACATAAAACAGAGAAATCACCTTAATATGTGGTGTGTGTGTGTGTGTGTGTGTGTGTGTGTGTGTGTGTGTGTGTTAGTATTTAGGTGTTTTGTACTTACAGAAAAACAAATTATCACAATCTGCATTTGTTCCTCAGGCCATAAGTAACAACAAATGATATAACTCACAGGAACATAAACATCCTAAACATCCTTTAAAAACATGTATATAATATGCCATCTTCCTAGATAATACACAGTATGCTATATTCCATTATTTACCAACTATATTTAATAAAATATTTTATGGACAATGGATGGTTCTTGAAATATCAGTAATAAGCAATATATTTTGATTACCTTTAGTGATGTAGTTACAAAAACAAAAAACCTTATGATTGTTCCAAGTTCTCTCTATAGACCCATGCCCACAAAGTTTGTTTTCACATAGAGAATTATAAGTTACAGAAAACCACATATTGCGTCAGGAGTTTGTTTGAGTGTTGACACTTTCTTAGTGAATGTAGGCATTCCAGATGCCTTATAGAAGGGAAACCACTTTTTCCCCCGTGAAATGTGCATAAAACGTTTACATTTTATGGTCAATTAATCACATCTTTTGTGTTGATTCTTATTTGCCCCTTAATGTAGAAACATGCAGGGGAAAAATACCTAAATTTTTGAAAACTTAAAAAATTTAACTATCATAAACTTAGATATTAAGTTTCTTACAGCTAACACTTATTAGGTACATTTACATTTAAATGAGAAAAGTGTCATCACCATAGGAAGTATTATAATATCCCACAAACATCAACTAGAGTCAGAATTGTGAAATAAATAAAATTTCCATACCTCAAATTCAAAATATTGAACGTTACAATAGTGTGAAACACCTGCATTTTACCATATATGTACTTATGCTATATATTCAGATATACATGCATTTATAATTTGGACTAAGTTACCTTAAAAACAAATACATTGAGATCAAGTATTTTATAATTATCTTAAAGATATATGCTGTTGATACTGAAAATATACTCTGTGAAATTGTTGAAAATTAAATTTTAAAGATTCGATTGGAGCATTATCTATTTCTACTTTTCCCTTATCAAGAGAGCTACATAGTTTCAACCTGCCAAGATAAACCAGGAGCTGAATCTGTATGGGTGCCTGCGAGCAAGGAGAGAGGGTTGGAAAGATTAGTGGTAGAATCTCATCCAGTAACTGATGGACTCCTATACTGATAGGGGGTGGCAGTGAGTCAGGAGGGCTTTGTTCTGAAAAATATACCCAAGACTCCCCACCAATGAAGTCCTGTGAATAAGTGCATTACATACTTCACTGCTCATACAAATATAAACACAAATGCTGGTTCAGAAGGCCTTGGAAGTATCCCCAGGTGCTACTGCTTTGATTCTTTGCCTTTGAGATGAAGGATGGTGTTGTGGTTTCCTTCAGCTCTTAAATAATCTCATAAAGGACCCAATAAAGTTCTACAATCTTCTCTGGGAAACAACAAGGTTAGATTTACATACATGAGAGTATCTCTCTTTCCATCTGGTGTTGTTACCTTCATTCTATACTCTTTTGTTTTCCCTCCAAAAGATAGAAGGTACAGAACAAGACCCCAAGACTAGTGTGCATTTTCCTAGCAAGATGGATATTTACATCAAATATCATAAGTATACAAAAATGAGCATCAATTCACACACACACACACACACACAAACACAAACACATTCGTTTCATGGACATAAGGTAGTAAAGCTAAATGTTTTAGGGACATGGTTGGCCAACCTTCTGTCATTGGGCCACCAGAATGACCAACCACCCTGGCTTCTTGATGCCATTTCAGATTATTCAGGGCCACACAATCACTGAGGGAGGATTTCCCCCCTTCACTTTCACAGTGCCAAACATCCACTGTGGCTTCCAATGAATCAATTTCTGCTTCCTCTCCTCCCCTGGAAGCGCATGCTCTCAGTAAAATGTCACAAATAAAGTAGAAGCAAGCCTTTCCCAGGCTGTACTTGTAAACAGAAAGCAAGAGCACCATTCTTCACCAGGAAACTGACCCACAAAGCTCACTGGATTCGGTTAAAGAGATTGAGAAGAAGGTCAGCTGAAAAAACAAAGGGAACTCTCTCTCTCTCGTTACTTCTGATCAAGCTCCACCAACCCAGAAATAAAGCCTTGTCCAAGGCAAGGGAAATAAAAAGGAGGGCACATGAGGTGAGAGGTCTGGGGAAGCAAGGGACTCTCACAGGTGCCTACTTTGCATGCTCTGTGAGTCTATCTTCCCTTTTCTCGGGAATAACTGCTTCTATATTTATTCTCTTTTCTCACTTCCCCCAGTTCACACTGTAATGTCTACTAAAGTGTACAGCTTAAAACCTCCATTTCTTTTGAGCTGTAGACACACAAAAGCAACGTGTATATTATATATAGATATGTATGTAGTGAGACTGGCTCTCATAGACACAGACTTCTATGCATATAGTATATGGAAGTATAAGAATTCTTTTTTTCTTTCTGAATTAACATTTCAAGGCTTATCTAACTCTTTGCTATCAATACTCAGGATATAGGTGTTGCTGATGTAGGAAGAAATCACAAAGTTCATGGACATTTAAATAAAAACTTATACATCCAGGGTATTCACTTCTCCCATACTCAATCTTATAATCAGTGAAAACATATTTCTAGGATGGCACACATTTCTATACACTGCTTTATTAGCAAAGGGTTAATGATGTCAGGGAGTGTAAAGCTAGTGTGAAGACAGCATGCTTATGTGTTTGGAAAAACATTATCTGCATCATGTCCAAATCCCTCTGCAAACAGATAAATTACTCTATAAATCTTATTACTCCATGTGGATAAATCATGCAGGCAGGTTTACAAGGCTGGAGAGCTGGAAGAGAAAATCTGCTTTGGAGAGTAGGATCTTTGGGATTCATAATCATCCAATGCTCAGGAAATGAAGGAGTACTTACACATTAGGATTTCCTGAGTTTTTACATCTGCAGCAACACACACACACACACACACACACACACACACACTCCTCTCTAACAAGGATAGAGATCCCAAAGCAGGACACTGTGACAGCCAACCAAATTTATTTCTGAGAAAAGGAAAGAAAACTTTGCTGCTGTAGGCAGCTCTGCTACAGAACTGCTCCCTGATGCCCCAGGGTTTATGCACTATCAGCTCCTTGCACACAGATTAGAGGTTTATTTGCTATTGTATACTGGGGTTTTTATTGCCACAACAAGCAACATTAGCTAGATAGACAAACTGACACTGGGTCATTTTATTTGGAGGAAATGAGATTTTAAAGGCTCTCTAAGGAGAACAGTTTTTTTCATTCTTTTTCTTCTTTTTCTAAAATTTTTTTTAGAATCTGATGGAAATTCAAGGAAAGCTAGGAAAAAGGACAAGGGGTATGTACAGGAGGTATAGGGGGTTAGAAAGAAGAGAAATACAGGAAAAGAAGCTTGAAGCTTTTTAGAACTAGAATTATGGTTAGGTTCTATTCGAGTTTCTCTAGCTCATTGTGCCTTACAGGGGTCAAACTGTTAAGGACTTGGGACTCTTCTTTTCCAAATTTCAATCCCAAGTTATATTTCAGAGTTTGGTAGAGCTGCACAGAGATAAGACTTGGAGGTCAGTAACCAACTTGAAATATCAATTTCATGCCAGGTTAATTCTCCCCTAACCTCTGTGTTCAACACTCCTATTCTTAAATATCTGCAATTTGGCATGTTCTATTATTTTCTTCTTGTTCTTCTCTTTATTCTTTTGTTGATTTCTATCCACATTCCAGAAAAGGCTCAGTAATTAACCAAAGTTCTAAGATTGATTTATTGCCTCAATGTCAATTAGAAGATGCTTACATCAAGTCTCCTATTGGACTCCTGCTGGGCAGAGGGGAGTCCTGATGTGCTTATTCACACACACACACACACACACACACACACCATGGAGAATGCAGCACTATGTACCACTCTCTCAGAGCCATAATTTAACAACTCTTCTTTCCAATTAAGGAACCCCAACAAAACTCTGAAGCGCAAAGCATCTGCAATTGCAAAAGCAAGAATACTGTCCAGAAGTCATTAACACCAGAGGGGAAGCCAGCCTTTCCTTGGTGAGAGAAACAAGGTCCTCAGAACCACACAACATTTAACCAACCCTGCTGGTCCTTGGTAGGGACCGAGGAATTCCCTTGAAATTTGTTGGCAGATACCTCGGCCAGTCAGTGAAAGACACACACACACACACACACACACACACACACACACACACACACACGCCTGCAGCATGAGGAGCTGGAGTTCAAGGAGATCACACAGACACGGGCACGCACACAACATACACATACACACACACCACACACACACACACAGTAGAAAAGTTGCCCGAGCGCCCTACCTGAGGATGGCCGTGTCCCCCTGCCTCACTGTGATGTTGTCCGTGCCTCGATTAAAATCCACGCTGCGAACAGGCAGTCCTGTGGGAAGAAGGCAGAGCAATCTCAGTAGGACCAGCGGCAACTGTTTCCGATCAGGCTGAACTCTGCCGACCATGGTGGCCACGCGAGGTGAGGGTCCTGGACTCTGGAGGGTGTGCGCGCTGCTGAGCCGCGGGGGCTTCACCAACGGAGGGCTTTCGTCAACAGCAAAGGCAGAACGGCTCAGCCAGTTTGTGGTCCTTTCCACTTTGCCTCTCTCTGTCCCTCTCCCTCGCTCAGTCTCTTTTCCCTCTAAGACTTAACAAAGCACTCATAAAACCCAAGCAAAGGGGGTGAAAGTCAAAGGAACACAATTTCAAAAGAGAGAGAGTACAAATATAAAACCCTCTAGAAAAAGATGAAGAGAAGGCTGCCAACGGAGGGTGTTCTCCAGTCTATTCGGGGCTGGATGCTCCTTTGCCAGTGTCTGTCTGAGTTGAGCTCCTTCCCTCTGTAACCCACTTTCCCGGGCTGGCGGGTGGCAGCAGGGAGTGTAAAGAAACCCACACAGCAGCGGCAGCAGCCCAGAGCCTCTCTCCCCCCTCCTCCCTTTCCTGTTTCTCTCTCCAGTCCCTCCCTCTCTCGGCTCAGCACCACCCCCTGCCCCCACCGATTTCAACAGCCCCTCCACGTCACTCCCACCGCCCGCCCCTCGGCGTGGCCCCTCGCTTCGCACAACTGCCCCCTTCAGCAGCGCCAGCCTCAATGAAAGCCTGATGCACCTTTAGGTTGTCAGGACAACAGCTCCATTCGAGGTCTGGCTGATTTCCTTAAGAAGAGGGAATGGTGCTTGGAGATACTGTGCAAGAGAAAGGGACAAGGAGAGAGACTCAGGCCATAAAAGAATGGGAGCAAGAGTCCAGGAAAGGAGAGGGAGAGGGAGAAAAGGAGGAAAAGGAGATGAGAAGAGAAGGCAAAGCTTGACAGAGGATGGGAGTGAAACAGAAAAGGGCAGGAAAACATGGGGGGTCGAGGGGGACCTGTGCTGAAAGATGGGATGAGGCATGTAAAACAGAGAATAAACTTGACAACGGAGGCTAAAATTAAAAGCCAAAGTTGATTTCAAAGTTAAACATTCCTGGCAACTGACTTTTCATGCTCATAGCTTGTTCCTCCTTGCCTCTCTCCTGCCTTTTCACTTACAGGATTAAAAAGGTTTATTTTCTCTTCTCCCCTTATCCCCTCCCCCTCTTGGAGCCCCCTTATGAAAGATGGATTGGAGACAATGCTGGTATTGAGTGGTCTGGGGTGTGAATGCTTGGTTTGTCTTTTCCACGGGCCAGCCTCAGCAGCTGATCCCTGATCCCTAAATCAACCTCACTCTCCAGGAAACCCTCATGCAGTCCCACACAGGAAGGACAGTATTAAGGATGATTGTTTCAACTTCATGCTGCTGTGGCTACCCAAGTATCTACTGGCACTTCTTGAAATGTTCATAAGCGAGGAAGGCAATTTGTATCAGAAGGCTTGTCATTTACAGGGTGACATTAAGGCTGCATATGGCACTCCAGTAAATGGCAGTTTCCTATCATTTGTTATTCCTTCTACTCCAAGAGTCAAGCCAAGTGATAAGGCCACAGGGGCTAAAGCTATTAGTCACTCTTGTGGGAGCCTCAAAGTGTTTATTAGACACCCCCCTCAGAATTGACACTGAGGGTACAAAATGGACCAGCCAATGACCTCTAGTTTTGTTTTAAAATTTTATTTGAATAGTTAAGACATCAACATGCTGCAAAAATATGAAGTGGTACAGAATGCTATAGAGTGAACTGTAATTATCTTTTCTATGACTGTTTTAGGCAACCCATTTCTCCAGTTTGGAAGCAACAAATATATCTAGTTTCTTATACATCTTTCCCTAAATATTGAATTACATACAAGCACACACACACACACACACACACACACACACACACACACCACTCACACAAATGATTAGCCAAGGATATCTGAAATGTTTAGGAATTCTTCTCAAGCCCTCCAGAATACAAGACATATGGAGGCACTTACTACGCTGACACCTGCCTTGTCTCCACAGAATATGCAAAGTATTTATCTACTACATTTTATCAATTTAAAAGGCAGATACACTATTTTAGATTATGAGAGGGGGGAAAAGGAAAACCTACTGTTTTTTTTTTTAAAGAATTTGAAGGATCAGGAACAGAATTGTCAAAAATTCAAGATTGATGGAGTTCATTTTTCTCTGTACTACACATTACATTTATATAAATTGAGCTGTTCTATATTGGGGCTGATAATATGCCAATGGTGTTTCACCACTAATTTTAACTCAGATGGTCAAAACTTGGAATGGATTTTTCCACAGAAAAAAATGGTTATGTGGTTAGCTGAATTAAAAAAAAAATTCTGTAGTTCCCAATATCAGTGGGAAAATTAGCTTCCAAGTGGAGATGCAAATTATATAAGTCTCTGCCAAGATTGCAGGGAAAAGAGCACCCACCTCCACCCACCACTGCCAACAGGCTTGGAAAATACCCATAGGTTTCTTCTGAGGTTTAGAGATGAAGGGTTGGCTTAGACAAAGGCTTAGATGTAATACCTTCTTTGGGAGGTTGGTGTTTCGCCAATGTCAGGAGGAAGAAAAGAAAGACACAAAGGACTGGGGCTACTAGAACATATATTTCCATTAATGATGCTAGATGAATGGTATGACCTTCTACCCCCAATGATAGAGACTCTGAAGGGATGGATCAGATATATCAAGAATAAGAGTATCCTCTTATATCAGAGGACTATGCTTTGAATGAGAGAGAAAGATGTTTTTTCAGGCAAGGAGGAAGTGTGGTGGGGTGGTAGCATAATATTTGTAGGAGATATTTGTGCATGGTGGTTGACTAATGCTTATACCAGTAATCTCAAGTCTCCAGGAGGACTTGTCTGGTCCTAGGATGAAGCATAAAGTTTAACATACTAGGGTACAAAATAATTCATACTAAAGTAATGGGAATGTGGAATGTATAGCAAAGCAATCAGATCTGGAGCTTGTCTGTACAATCATCCTTAGAAAAGGATATATTAAGTTAATCAGGATTATAATCAGAATTGTAATAGACATGCCTAACATTCCTAAGAGGATAAAATCATAAGTACATATTGTCTAAAAAAATCAAATAATGTAATTAAAGTTTTTTAATACTTTCAATAAATAAAGTCCAATTCCTGCCAACTTTTATTAAACTAAATTGACTTACTGTGTGCTCTGGAAGACACACAAAAAAAGACTACATTTTTAAAATGTTCTAATTTAGACTGTTCCATAATTCAGACTGGATTTCTGAACAATTTCAAAATCATGAAGTTTATTATGTAAGTTAATTATTTAATATTTATCATTTACGTCCAGGTGGCACTTTACATATAATTTTAAACCCAACCTTTGGCACAGAGGGGACACTCTATAATATATATAAGAATAGAGAAATGATTGACTGCCCAAGCGACTCACATGGCTATCTCATCATTTCCAAAATAATAAATCTATTTGTGGGTGTAATAGCGACTTCCACTTCAACTTTATGCCTCCCAGAACCCTTCCCCTTTGCAGTCCCTTAAGGAACCTTCCTAGTTTTCTCTCCTCTAATAGAATCTAATAAATTCTAGTTAATTAAATAGTCACTATATATGGACTAACTTATCTCATCCTAATGGTCATCCCCCAAAACCACTCCAATATTGACTCCTCTGTTTGCTTTCCTAAGAAACATCGAGAAAGAAACAAGTAGGTGAGTTATTGAAATTTATATAAGCTATTTTTCTTTAAACCACTATAGACATTCTTCCAAGAGGGCTGGCAAAAATGAACATACTTTCAGGTTATTTGTGAGGCAAGTATGGCTGTTAGCCATGGAAACAGACATCATCGCCCAAGTAAGATGATCTTAACTACTACTTTAAAATAACATACTGCCATTCTAAAAGAGGCTTTAGAAGATTTGGGCACTCTCCAGGGACAAATGCTGCAGGAAAAAACAAAGACTGGCTAATGTCTCAGCACCCTAAGAAGCATGGAAGGTTTATTCTCCTGTTAGCTTTGTAAGGTAATAGGCTCACAAGAAATCCAGATGCAGTCTGGAATATACAGCTAATTTAGCTACACAGCTTACATTTTATGCTAAACTTGTCTATAATATTATTACTATACCCCTCTACATCTCTACAGTTGTAAGGTCTTAATCATAATAATGCCATGCCTGTACTTTACTTTCATAAGTGGTATTAGCATTTCCATATGAACCAGAAATACAGAATTGTTAATACTTCTCCTTAGGATTCCTGCTATGACATTCTCAATGATTTCATCCTAATTTAACAATGTTCAAGTATCTCCGTTTATGCGCATAAGCATGGCACTATTTTGCGTGAATTTCCTTTGGAATTTGGCTCCTTTGAATACAGTAGCTTCATTCACATGTGTCCCACTACCTAACAAAATCTATCAGTGACAAGTCAATTAAATATTGTTCAAATCCTTACTGTAGAACCCTCAGCAATGCAAAACACTCAATTCATGTTCTGCACAATTAAAATTGCTCTTTTATGGTTTGTTTTTAGTTCATGCTTTTGTGATTCATTGTTATCATATCGGTCTACTGCTTCTTTGTTCACTCATTCTGTTTTGGTAGGTATCAGTGCTTAGATCTGTCCAAGTTTTCAAAAGCTCTTTAATTCTTGAGCTGCTGAAGACTTATTCTCATATATACACCTTATTATTTCTTACACGTCATTCTCATTAGCCCTTGTACCTTCCTCTCTTATAGACTGCCCATTTTGCCACCATGTATAAGGAGATGGCCATTGCTAACTAATGCTGCATCTACATTGCTGTTGTGCTTTATAATCCTCACATATGGGTAGAATATTGCAACATCTGGAAAGATGGAGGTATAGCATCTTCATTATAGCAAGATGTTAATACAAGCAAGTGATCAGGTCATTATATCTATATCCTCTATTTATGGTTGCTGTAGTGACTTGAATTCCTACCATGAAAAAAAATAGCCAAAGAGAAATGAGGAAGAGTGGAGGCGAGTGAACAATTCCATACACTGACATGTCCATGTAGGTTGATCACTCAATATACTTTAATTGATATGGTAGTGAATCAAGACACTGTACATTCTTTAAAAAATAGGTTTTTGTGGCTTTTTTTTTAATCTTAGAGAGGAAGGGAGAGGCAGAGATAGAAATATCTTAGTGAATCAAGACACTGTACATTCTTAAAAAAAAAACCACACAGGTTTTTGTGGCTTTTTTTTTCATCTTAGAGAGGAAGGGAGAGGCAGAGATAGAAATATCAAGGATGAGAGATAATCATTGATCGGCTGCCTCCTATAGGACCCCCACTGGGGATCGAGTCCATCACTAGGGGATGTGCCCTGACCAGGAATCCACTTGTGAGTTCCTGGTTCATAGGTTGACGCTCAACCACTGAATCACACTGGCCAGGCTAGAACTTACATTCTTGAGGCAGAAATAGACATGAAACAAGTACATAAATATTAAGATTACTTTGTAAAGTAAAGGTTATAGACAAAAA